GGAGGGGAGGGGGAGAGGGAGGGAGGGAGGGAAGAAGAAAGGAGAAAGAACAAGGAAGGAAGGAAGGAAGGATCCTGTTATTGATTCAGTTCAGCAAGAGGCTGAAATTTGGCCAGCTGTCAACGCTCCCTTGGGTTTCCTTGGGCAAGATATTATACGTTTACATTCAGTGTCATCTTTACCTCCTTAGGATCTGTTACTGTGCAAACACTCAGCATATCAATACGTTTGTAATATAATTATATAATTCTTACTTGAGCATTTGTTCATTGTCTTCTTCTCCCACTTTACTAGATTCGCAAGAGATGACCCCAAAGGACCCTATTGGTTGGTGAGTGATAGGAGATGTGACCTGCTTGGTGGACAAGACAGTCAGTGGAGGTGTCTCCTTGAGAACTGAAGAAAAGGGCAGACAGGTGGCTGTGCAAGAAACAGATAAGTTGACTATCTCCATGGCCTTCTTACTCTCAAGCACCAACTTTTCTGGCACTGCAGAATGAAATCCAGTGCTATTTGCTTTGCTCTTGAGATCCCTTTTTTCCAGCTCAGTGCTGCATGAGCCACACTCAGATCTGTTGTCCAGTCCGACTTTCTGTAAATTTGTGATTTCTCTACCACAGGCTATATTGTTGCTGCTGACCGGAGAGTTAGCAGAGTTCCCGCTAGTAAAGTTCGATTCATATGCCGAGTCTGTTGAGTCTGGATTGGCATAGCAAAAGTCCATCACCTCCTTCTCACCGTGTGAGAAAGCATACACATCAGCAGCGTATAAATTGTGGTCACGATTCAAGTTTGCATCCTCATCATAGACCTCCAGATTAGACGCATCTGCATCCAAATAACTATTGGCTGTTTCGAAATGGCCATCCTCTCTTCTCTCTGGCAACTGGTATCCTACTTGAGGCAGTGGTCCCCCTGTGGCTTCCAAATTACAGTCGTTGTCAGGATAGCCCTTAACACTCCCTTGCAAGTGAGTAGCATTACAATCGGATTTGGGGTGTTCCGTCAAACCACTGGACAGTTGAGGTTCTCCATCCTGGCAGGCGGAAATATTTCCCACTGAGACCATTCTGACATTTCCCGTTTCCACATCGTGCCCACCTGAGATGTTTTTATCAGGTTTGGATACATCCATGACTTCCACGGATTCCTCGGGACTACTGATCTGAGGAGCAGAGATTGATTTTGTCAACTTGCTGGGCTCCACCTCCCGTTCGTCTTCCTCATAAGGCAAGGAGCTAATAGACGTAAGTGAGGCCTGTATGCCATTAGGCAAACTTGTGTTGCTTTCCGTACGTCCGCCTTCTAGGGAATTCCGATGGATTGCGTGCCGGTTGACTAGCTGGTGAAGGATCTCTTGATCACTGGCCAACTCCAAGGCTTTGCTTTTTGCATCAGACCAAGCGACTGAACTGGGTTCGCTTTCAATTCCTGAGTCTGAAATGACTGATGAAGATCTCTTAATGACCCCTGATATCAAGACATCTTCATGCTTCTTCATGCTAGGCTCCTTCAGATGTGACTTGGGCTCTTCAACAACCGTGGTTGGGTTTGAGGAGTTGAAATTATGAATTACGTCAAATGTCCTCTGGGCTCGCAACAAAGTTTCACTACATTGATCTACTGGTGTCTCAGTGAACATTGATTGGTCAGAAGCAAGAGTAGATTCACAACAATCCCTTTGAGCTGCTTGGCTCAAACTAATCCCATCCACATGTTTAGGAGGTTCATAATAGCCAGCATCACACTGAGTATTCATAACGAGCACTGATTTATTTTGGTGGGCAGTCTTACACACTGGGTCCACATCCTCTGTGGTGATCCTACGATTGTTTTCTGTAAAGCTCATTGGTCCCTTAAAGTTTTTTGAAGGATCTTTCAGGAGATCTGATGGCAAGCTAGATATAACATTGCTCTCCAGCTCTTTCTGAGTGATGTAGGACTGGACATTTTCGTTCATCGTATATACCTGAGTCACGGAGTGAGCCTTGAAATTCTTGGCCATACAGCAGTCACTTTTTGAATAGCCAAAGGGAAACATCGAATTTCTATGTATCCTATCAGTATGTATAACGAAAGGGACGCTGTTCCTGAAGTCCTTCTTTGCTAAAGCAATATTGTTGTTTGAGGAAGGTTCCTCATTTTTATTGTTCACTTGTAAATTGTCCACTGCGGAAATCATATAGTTTGACAAAATATCTAAGCTCTGAACTGAAAAGGAAAGAAAAATGGAACCATTAGACATCACTAATATGCCAAAATGAGAAAATCCTAATCCTAAACCCAAATGAGATTACTACAAAACCAAGCAAACATTGATGTATGATTTAGATGACCACCCTTCTCAATAGTGATTCTTGGGTCTGACACTCACATGTCCAGATGTACTTTAGCCATCAATGCCCAGATGAGCATAGATTAACATCAAAATTAACATCAGACTAACTATCCAGAAGTAAAATCTAGAAGTCCTCCAAGGTCCCTTCTAGCTCTATTCTATTCTAAAAAGAAGCAACCTGGAATTAAGGAGGCACTTCCTAACCGTGAGAACAATTAGCCATTGGAACAGCTTGCCTCCAGAAGTTGTGGATGCATCATCACTGGAGATTTTAAAGAAGAGACTGGACCGCCACTTGTCTGGAATGGTAAAGAGTCTCTTGCTTGAGCGGGGGATTGAACTAGAAGACCTCCAAAGTCCCTTCCAACTCTACTTTTGATTAAACAATATCAAATTACAAATTACACAAATAAGAGAAAGAGGACGTGGCCAGATTAGGTCAACCATGGACAGAGAATACATGCCTATATTATTTCTCACTCAAGGAAGGTTGGAGAAGAATAGGGAAAGAGTCAGCTGGAAAAGGAGTTCCTGAGATACCCAGGGCTACCATGGCCAATAAAAAGACTTCTGGATGTTGTGTTTTGCAAGCATGGTTGTGCAAGAATACAATTATGGTCCTAACTACACAACACTACAGTTTCAAAGAAGGCAGTTCCATTTTATGAACCTTATTGGTCCCTGCACAAAACATCTCTCTCTCTCTCTTTCTCTCTTTTGACATCTTTCTCACTTTTTGTAGAACTATCTTTAATTAAATGGAATTTGGGAAAATAAATATAAAAAACAAAGCCTTAGGCATAAGAAAATTGATCCTATTCTAGGCCCTCTTAATTTTGAACTGAATATTGCTTCTTTTCCCAAGTGGAACAGTGTAATTGCACATAAACCATAATTGCACACACATACACAAAAACCAACCCAAACCATAATTGCACATAGAATCATAAAGCAGGAATAAAAAAAAGGAAGCATCCACGACAGATGGTTGTATAGCCTCCCCAGAAACAGAATGGGATGCAGATAATTGCTTTCACTGTCAAGCAGCTCTCACTCTTTAAAAAAAATTCTTCCCAACATTAATTTGGAATCTGCTTTCCTGTGACAAAAATCCGTGGATCCACGTCTGGACATCTAGAATGATTGAAAAGCTCTTGCTTTCTTTGGGCATGCTTTTCCTTTGTAATCATGCACAAGATTCCCTATATAAAGGTAGAACCAAGCACATCTCTCCATCACACACACCATTGGCTTTCTCACACATGTGGCTTGACAATTCAGACTCTGTTAGAGAATTTTAATTTCTCTGTTGGTAAAAATAAATCAGAAGCTCTCACAGTTGACTGCATTTAGCTGATTCAAATAAACTCTTTATATTCATA